AAACATCCCAATGGTCTCTGTAGACCAAGTACTTCCAGATATTATCTGTCTGCCTTTTTGTCTGAAAGGGGCAGTTTATTCCCTTCACCATGAAAGTCTTCACTTGCAGGGGTGTCCCCATGTCTGGGGCTCCAATCTGTTTCCTGAGAACAGTTCCCGTCTCATCAAGCATCCCCTCCATGACTTGGTACTCTGACATGAGCTCCACTGGAAATCCCTCACGTGTTGAAGAGTCTTCCCCTATGGAAAGGTCTGGGAGTTTTCCCTGTGGCAGGTCTAGTGGCCTAGTCCCTATGCTGTACTACACTGAGAGTGTTACGTTTCACTATGCTGTCCTCCTCGGAGATAAGAATTTGCCGTCTGGTTCTCTTCTGATTCAGTACCTGAAAGCTGTTGATTGATCACCTGGCAGGAAGATTTAATTGCTGGATGTCCCTGTGCTCTCCACATTGTCAGCAAGAGATTTTTCTGGGGGCCCTGAAGTCGCGGTGGCCTGGGGTCCTGCTGCTAGTTCCCCCAGCAGGTAGGGAGTCTGCCTGGAGACCTTTGTGGGACCTGGTCACTGGAGGGTAAGTTCTCATTTGATGACAGATGTGCAGTTCCTCCAGACTCCTCCCTTGCTCCTGATCCTAATCAGGTAGACAATCTAGGATCCCTTCCCCCCTTCCCTCTCCTCAGCTGAGGATGCTTTGTTGGACCATGCTCCATGATTAGATGTAGGCAGTTTTGGGGCAGTGGTGGGTGTTTAGGTACATGGGTCCCTGTGCATCCTTATGACCTGCTGGCTGTTTTGTGCCCCATATGGGTTGTGCCATATTTCTTCTCTCTTCTTACCCCTGTGGAGGTGTCTGGGCACTTTTTCCTCTTCTAGTCAAGCCCTTAGGTACCCTTAGTTCTTTCCTACCAGCCTTCAAGAGCTGGCTGGCTGTCTGATATGAAGGACGGGACATTCTGGGTAGTCTGTCTCTCTCTGATATGAAGGACGGGACATTCTGGGTAGTCTGTCTCTCTCTGATATGAAGGACGGGACATTCTGGGTAGTCTGTCTCTCTCTGATATGAAGGACGGGACATTCTGGGTAGTCTGTCTCTCTCTGATATGAAGGATGGGACGGGACATTCGGGTAGTCTGTCTCTCTCTGATGTGAAGGATGGGACATTCGGGTCGTCTGTCTCTCTCTGATATGAAGGACGGGACATTTCGGGTCGTCTCTGTCTCTCTCTGATATGAAGGACGGGACATTCCTGGGTCGTCTGTCTCTCTCTGATATGAAGGACGGGACATTCTGGGGTCTGTCTGTCTCTCTCTGATATGATGAAGGACGGGACATTCTGGGTAGTCTGTCTCTCTCTCTGATATGAAGGACGGGACATTCTGGGTAGTCTGTCTCTCTCTCTGATATGAAGGACGGGACATTCTGGGTAGTCTGTCTCTCTCTGATATGAAGGACGGGACATTCTGGGTAGTCTGTCTCTCTCTCTGATATGAAGGACGGGACATTCTGGGTAGTCTGTCTCTCTCTCTGATATGAAGGACGGGACATTCTGGGTAGTCTGTCTCTCTCTCTGATATGAAGGACGGGACATTCTGGGTAGTCTGTCTCTCTCTCTGATATGAAGGACGGGACATTCTGGGTAGTCTGTCTCTCTCTCTGATATGAAGGACGGGACATTCTGGGTAGTCTGTCTCTCTCTGATATGAAGGACGGGACATTCTGGGTAGTCTGTCTCTCTCTGATATGAAGGACGGGACATTCTGGGTCAGTCTGTCTCTCTCTCTGATATGAAGGACGGGACATTCTGGGTAGTCTGTCTCTCTCTCTGATATGAAGGACGGGACATTCTGGGTCATCTGTCTCTCTCTCTGATATGAAGGACGGGACATTCTGGGTAGTCTGTCTCTCTCTCTGATATGAAGGACGGGACATTCTGGGTAGTCTGTCTCTCTCTCTGATATGAAGGACGGGACATTCTGGGTAGTCTGTCTCTCTCTCTGATATGAAGGACGGGACATTCTGGGTAGTCTTTCTCTCTCTGATATGAAGGACGGGACATTCTGGGTAGTCTGTCTCTCTCTCTGATATGAAGGACGGGACATTCTGGGTAGTCTGTCTATCTCTGATATGAAAGGACGGGACATTCTGGGTAGTCTGTCTCTCTCTGATATGAAGGACGGGACATTCTGGGTCTGTCTGTCTCTCTCTCTGATGATATGAAGGACGGGACATTCTGGGTAGTCTGTCTCTCTCTCTGATATGAAGGACGGGACATTCTGGGTAGTCTGTCTCTCTCTCTGATATGAAGGACGGGACATTCTGGGTAGTCTGTCTTTCTCTCTCTGATATGAAGGACGGGACATTTCTGGGTAGTCTGTCTCTCTCTCTGATATGAAGGACGGGACATTCTGGGTAGTCTGTCTCTCTCTCTGATATGAAGGACGGGACATTCTGGGGTAGTCTGTCTCTCTCTCTGATATGAAGGACGGGACATTCTGGGTAGTCTGTCTCTCTCTGATATGAAGGACGGGACATTTCTGGGTCTAGTCTGTCTCTCTCTGATATGAAGGACGGGACATTCTGGGTCGTCTGTCTCTCTCTGATATGAAGGACGACGGGACATTCTGGGTAGTCTGTCTCTCTCTCTCTGATATGAAGGACGGGACATTCTGGGTAGTCTAGTCTGTCTCTCTCTGATATGAAGGACGGGACATTCTGGGTAGTCTGTCTCTCTCTCTCTGATATGAAGGACGGGACATTCTGGGGGTCTGTCTGTCTCTCTCTGATATGAAGGACGGGACATTCTGGGTAGTCTGTCTCTCTCTGATATGAAGGACGGGACATTCTGGGTAGTCTGACTCTCTGATATGAAGGACGGGACATTCTGGGTAGTCTGTCTCTCTCTCTGATATGAAGGACGGGACATTCTGGGTAGTCTGTCTCTCTCTCTGATATGAAGGACGGGACATTCTGGGTAGTCTGTCTCTCTCTCTGATATGAAGGACGGGACATTCTGGGTAGTCTGTCTGTCTCTCTCTGATATGAAGGACGGGACATTCTGGGTAGTCTGTCTCTCTCTCTGATATGAAGGACGGGACATTCTGGGTAGTCTGTCTCTCTCTGATATGAAGGACGGGACATTCTGGGTAGTCTGTCTTTCTCTGATATGAAGGACGGGACATTCTGGTAGTCTGTCTCTCTCTGATATGAAGGACGGGACATTCTGGGTAGTCTGTCTCTCTCTGATATGAAGGACGGGACATTCTGGGTAGTCTGTCTCTCTGATATGAAGGACGGGACATTCTGGGTCGTCTGTCTCTCTCTGATATGAAGGACGGGACATTCTGGGTAGTCTGTCTCTCTCTGATATGAAGGACGGGACATTCTGGGTAGTCTGTCTCTCTCTGATATGAAGGACGGGACATTCTGGGTCGTCTGTCTCTGTCTCTCTCTGATATGAAGGACGGGACATTCTGGGTAGTCTGTCTCTCTCTGATATGAAGGACGGGACATTCTGGGTAGTCTGTCTTTCTCTGATATGAAGGACGGGACATTCTGGGTCGTCTGTCTCTCTCTGATATGAAGGACGGGACATTCTGGGTAGTCTGTCTCTCTCTGATATGAAGGACGGGACATTCTGGGTAGTCTCTCTCTCTCTGATATGAAGGACGGGACATTCTGGGTAGTCTGTCTCTCTCTCTGATATGAAGGACGGGACATTCTGGAGTACCTATCTCTCTGATATGAGGACGGGATGTTGTATGATCCTGACCCTGTTTTAGCAGTAGATGACCAATAGCTGATGATTCAGGAAAGTCTGTCTGCGCATGTTTGACGCACTTTCTGTGGTGCGCATTCTTTATATTGTATCCACTGTGTGGCACATTCTGGACCCTCGTCCCCCACGCACTCTATGAGGATCTACTGGATCCCCACTGGGTCAATTTTTCAGCTATTTGGGACATTTTATCCACTTAATTTGGTTACATGACAATTTTGGCACTATTTTGCACTTGAATATATTGCTACCATACACTCTATGTTTTTAACAGACATTCCATTTTTGTATACTATTTTTTTACATATCTAGCACTGCATTTTATTTATTGATATTTTTTTAAACAGTGGTTACATAAGAGTTGGTTTATTGTTTCTTACTTTTTATTAGTTATTTTGGCTCCTCCCTGATATACTGTAAGGTAATACAATGCAGGAATGGGTATTAGGGGACATTTCTCGGGGCTGCAGTTCCTCTGATCTCCACAAGATGGTGATCTCATTTCTACTAACCAGACACTTCTCTATGGACAGACTTCTCTCATGGAACAGACAGGAAGTGATGTCAGGAACAGACAGGAAGTGATGTCAGGAACAGACAGTGATGTCAGAACAGACAGGAAGTGATGTGGAATAAAGACAGGCTGTGCCATTCGGTGTGAAGGAGATCGGAGACGTTGCAGGAAGTAGCAGCAGAGGAGGTAATAAGATGTTTATGTTCTATTTACACCCAGTAACCCCCCCGTCATGTCCGTTATCTTCCTCCATAGTCATGTCTGTCCTCTTTCTCCATCTTCACGTCCGTCCTCCTCCATTCCTCCCTCCATAGTCATGTCCCTTCTCTCTCTCCCTCCATAGTCATGTGCATCCGCTTCCTCCAGTCATGTCCGTCCTCTTCCTCCATAGTTATTGTGACGTCTTTTTTCTCCAGCAGATTATACACATCAATATTTAGAAGGACACAAGGACCTCTACAAGGACGTCATGATGGAGGACCACCAGAGAGGACACAAGGACCTCTACAAGAACGTCATGATGGAGGACCACCAGAGAGGACACAAGGATCTCTACAAGGACGTCATGATGGAGGACCACCAGAGAGGACACAAGGACCTCTACAAGGACGTCATGATGGAGGGAGGACCACCAGAGAGGACACAAGGACCTCTACAAGGACGTCATGATGGAGGACCACCAGAGAGGACACAGGGACCTCTACAAGGACGTCATGATGGACAATCAGCCGCCCCTCACATCACCGGGTAAGAGGAGACTTTATTGTGTAAAGGAGAGAGCAGTACGGAGGATCCACCTAGATCCCCCATCATCTGATAAACACATAGAAACAATGGATTCAGTCAGTGTGTGTGTTTCCTACAGATGGATCCAGTCATGGGAACCCACCACCAGAGAGATGTCCCCGTCCTCTGTATTCCCGGGATTCCACACAGGAAGGTCACACCATCCCTCACCATCATCAGGTAGATGGATCCAGTCATGGGAACCCACCAGAGAGATGTCCCCGTCCTCTGTATTCCCGGGATTCACACACAGGAAGGTCACACCATCCCTCACCATCATCAGGTAGATGAGGAACAATCACTGATAGTATCATTAGGATCTGTACATTTATCTGCATTGTTACCATTGATGTCATTTTTTATTATATATTCAGAGTGGAAACCTGAGAGATTCTACAGTTGAGGTTAAAGAAAAGATAAAAAGAGGAGGAGGATGAGGATGGGGGGATAGAAGAGTCAGAGATTCCAGAAGGACACAAAGATCTGTACCAGGACACCATGGTGGAGTCATCCAGCTACAGGAATCCACCAGAGAGATGTCCCCGTCCTCTGTATTTCCGGGATTCCACACAGGTAGGTCACACCATCCCTCACCATCATCAGGTAGATGTGTATAAATCATAACTATTAGTGATTGTTCCTCAAGGGTGTTTGTTACATTGAATTTATTTTTGAATGTTTAGATTGGAATCCTCGGGGATGATAATATTGATGTTAAAGAAGAGTATAAAGAGGAGGATGAGGAGTATGGAGTGATGGAGGAGTTTTCAGAAGGACACAAGGATATGATGGAGCCACCTAATACCAGGAACCCACCAGAGAGATGTCCCCCGTCCTCTGTATTCCCGGGATTCCACACAGGAAGGTCACACCATCCGTCACCATCATCAGGTAGATGATGACAATTATTGGTAGGTGGGATTTATACTCGGCATGTTTGTTACAATGAATGTTTTTTATATATCTCTCAGAGTGGAATCCTCGGGGATGAGAATATTGATGTTAAAGAAGAGTATAAAGAGGAGGATGAGGAGGATGGAGTGATGGAGGAGTTTTCAGAAGGACACAAGGATATGATGGAGCCACCTAATACCAGGAACCCCCAGAGAGATGTCCCCGTCCTCTGTATTCCCGGGATTCCACACAGGAAGGTCACACACCATCCGTCACCATCATCAGGTAGATGATGACAATTATTGGTAGGTGGGATTTTTATACTCGGCATGTTTGTTACAATGAATGTTTTATTATATCTCTCAGAGTGGAATCCTCGGGGATGAGAATATTGATGTTAAAGAAGAGTATAAAGAGGAGGATGAGGAGGATGGAGTGATGAAGGAGTGTTCTGAAGAACATAAGGATCTCTATGAGGACTCCATGATGAAGCCATCAAGCCCACCGGAGAGATGTCCTCTGTATTCCCGGTCTTCCACACAGGAAAGCCACAACTATGCACACAATTACAAGGTTGGTTTGATGGAGGATCTAGGCCATGAAAGGGACTCAGCCATGCCAGACAATGTGTGGATCCTACATGATGACGTTCTCTCTGTGGTCTTGCATTATTGAAGTGGCTGAGAACCCAAATTCCAAAAACACAATTTGTTTTTGCTTAGTTTTAGTAGATGATGTAGTTATAACCTAAATCACATGGTGTGTATCTCTCAATAATGCCTCCTCAATCAGTTGTAGGCCATGTTGAGTTGAGTCCTTCGTTTTGAGTCCCTCTCAGTCTGTGGCATGGTGTCACATGTGGTGCAGCTATTTCCACCATTGGCTTCTCTTCTCCCGGTAGAATTTGAAGTTTCCTCCTCTCTTCTATAGATGTGAAGTCCGGGATGAGAGTGGAGAGTCTCTGGAAGTGAGTGTCCCTCACTGATGAGTACTTGGGGCACTGTAGCAGGAAGAGGTCCTTGTCCTCCAGGACCACCTATTCACATTGTAGCAGGAACGGTCCTCATCCTCCAGATTACCCTGGTCAGATTGCAGCAGGAAGTGGTCCTTATCCTCCAGAACCCCCTATTCACATTGTAGCAGGAACGGTCCTCTCATCCTCCAGATTACCCTGGTCACGTTGTAGCAGGAAGTGGTTCTCATCCTTCCATGACATCCGGTCAGATTGCAGCAGGAAGTGGTCCTTATCGTCCATGACATCCCAGTCACATTGTAGCAGGAAGTGGTCCTCATCCTCCATGACACCCGGTCAGATTGTAGCAGGAAGTGGTCCTTGTCCTCCAGAACCCCCTGGTCACAATGCAGCAGGAAGTGATCCTCATCCTCCAGGACCCCCTGGTCACATTTTAGCAAGAAGAGGTCCTCATCCTCCAGGACCCCCTAGTGACATTGCTGGCACAGTCTACTCTCCCTGGACTTGTAGGTCTGTCTGTGCCGTCCTGATTGGATTTTCAGGCTGTGGGCACTCTACCGGCTCAGGGTCTGTCTGTCTTTGGGGTCTTGTAGCACCTCCAGGTACAGGGTCAGTTTGTAGTCCCTCTGTAGTGACTGGTAAACCGTTTTCTTGGAGTTGGCTCTTTCATTTCTTCATTCCTCACACATATGTTTTGGGGAATCCTTCATTATGTCTTTATTTGAGATTTTGTCAGGCCGTTTGTTGGGTGTTTGGGGAGGACAAGGCGAGTTGTTGCAGGCCACATGGCTTTGACTGGTCATTATTGGTCAGTAGGGCCTTATGGTGGTACAAGTTAGGACTGCTGTTTTGTAGATGGCCCCAGTATGATAGCGCCCTCTCTTCTGTACTGCGAGAAGAAAAGGAACTCTGCCCAACTCTGACCAGCAATCACCGTTGGAGGTGCTCTGGTGGACTTGGAGGAGGTGCTTGCAGAATTCTAGATGGAATATTTCTGACGGGCTGAAGTCCCATTTGGATTGGTCTGGGTAGGTGAGAAGACCCTCAATCTTCACTGCATAAAGAAGGATTGGGGTGATGACTCTATCAAAGATTCTAAGCCAGACTCTTCCCGGAGGTTGAAGGTGGTACAGCTGTCTCCTGATGGCGTAGGAGGTTCTCATGCCTTGTCTTTCAGGGACTCAATGGCTGGCTTGAAATTCTGTGTGTCCCTCCCCCTCTCTCTCCTCCTCTCCTCCTCCTCCCCTCTCTCCCCCCCCTCCTCCTCTCTCTTCTCCCCCTTCCCTCTCTCCCCCTTCCCTCTCTCCCCTCTCTCTCTCCTCCTCCTCTCTCTCTCACTCCCTCCCCCTTCTCTGTCCCTCCTCCCCTCCCCCCTCTCTCCCCCCCCTCTCCCTTTCTCCCTCTCCTTCACCCTCCCCCCCCCCCCCCTCTCTCTCCTCTCCCTCCTTCTCCCTCTCTCTCTCTCTCCCCCTTTTCTCTCTCTCTTCTCCCCTTCTCCTCTCTCTTCCCCCCCCTTCTCTCCCCCCCTCTCTCTCTCTCTCTCCCCCCTTCTCTCTCTCTCTCCTCTCTCCCCCCTCTCTCTCCCCTCTCTCCCCCCTCTCTCTCTCCCCTCTCTCCCCCCTCTCTCTCCCCCCTCCCCTCTCCCCCCTCACTCTCCCCCCCCTCTCTCCCCCCCTCTCTCCCCCTCTCTCCCCCCTCACTCTCCCCCCCCCTCCCTCCCTCTCTTCTCCTCTCTCTCCCCCTCCCCCTCTCTCCTCCCCCTCTCTCTCCTCTCCCCCTCCCCCTCTCTCTCCCTCCCTCCCCCTCCCTTCTCTCTCCTCCCCCCCCTCTTCTCTCCCCCTCTCTCTCTCCTCATCCCCCCTTCTCTCTCCTCCCCCCCCCTTCTCTCTCCTCCTCCCCCCCCCTCTCTCTCTCCCACCCCCCCCCTCTCTCTCTCTCCTCCCCCCCTCTCTTCTCTCCTCCCCCCCCCCTCTCTCTCCCCCCCCCCCTCTCTCTCCCCCCCCCCCTCCCTCCTCTCTCTCTCCTCCCTCCCCCTCCTCCCTCTCCCCCCCTTCCCCCTCTCTCCCCCCCGAGGTGCAGAGCAGCAGCAGACATGCCTCCCTTCCCTCCTCCTGTATATATCTCATTATACAGGCTGTCAATCAAGGGGCGTGGCCTCAATATTGCGGAGAGGATTGCTGATGGCAGGCTGCTCTTCTACCAGCCACACACACTACACACCAATGGCTTGCGCTCTTCTTCTTTATTACATTTTATCTTCTATTTTTGTTTGCTTTTTGCAGGTTTCCAGCCACTTTCACTCTGATATTTCCTCTCCTTCTCTTGATGTAGAGTGGAGATCCAATCGATATAGAATTTGAGGTGAAAGCAGAAGAAGAAGAGGCGTATGTGAGGGATGATCAGCAGTCTATGGAGGAGGATGGAATAACGGGGACATTTATAGAGGAGGACACTCCTACAGAGATCAGCACAGGTGGGTCATGAACACTAAATCCATTCCTCCACCCATACTGCTCACTGATTGGTCCAGATGATAAACCTCTCATTGGATCTTTCTCTGTCTTTCTGGTTTGGGGGAACCAATCAGCTCCTGTCTAGTAATCCTCTTTCTTTGTATTTTAGTCCATGGCCGGGAGATGAGGAAAACCTCCGAGGATTGTCTCACTTTGTCTCCAGACTGGAAAGTAGAAGATGAGGACATCACACAGTATAGTCCAGGAGAAAACCCGGCTCCCTCCAATGTCCATCCGGCACCACCCAGTGTAGATGGACCATCGGATTTCCTCGTATCCTGAGGAACCTCAGACTGTGCGGGACCGGGCCGGCCTTCCAACTGGGAAGAGCTTCTCCTGTCCTGAGTGCGGGAAATGTTTCCAATATAAATCCAGTCTTAATAGGCATGAAAGATCTCACACGGGGGAGAAGCCAAATTCCTGTCCTGAGTGCGGGAAATGTTTCCAATCTGAATCCAACTTAATGCACATAAAAGATCTCACACGGGGGAGAAGCCGTATTCCTGTCCTGACTGTGCGGGAAAGATTTTTTTCTAGAAAAACAAACACTTATCATACATCAGAGGTCTCACACAGGGGAGAAGCCGTATTCCTGTCTAGAGTGCGGGAAATGTTTTTCAAAGCAAAGTCCTATCTGCACTCACATCAAAGGTCTCACACGGGGGAGAAGCACGTATTCTTGTCCTGAGTGCGGAAATGTTTTTCACAGAATTCCCATCTTACACACATCAAAGATCTCACACGGGGGAAAAGCCGTATTCCTGTCCTGAGTGCGGGAAATGTTTTTCACATACTCGCAGTCTTCACACACATCAAGATCTCACACGGGGGAAAAGCCGTATTCCTGTCCTGAGTGCGGTAAATGTTTTTCAGCTAAGTCCTATCTTTACAAACATCAAAGCTCTCACACGTGGAGAAGCCGTATTCCTGTTCTGAGTGCGGGAAATGTTTTTTCACAGAAGTCACATCTTCACTCACATCAAAGATCTCACACGGGGGAGAAGCCGTATTCCTGTCCTGAGTGGAAAATGTTTTTTCAGAGACGTGCATCTTTACACACATCAAAGATCTCACACGGGGGAGAAGCCATATTCCTGTCCTGAGTGCGGGAAAATGTTTTTCAGAGTACTCCAGTCTTCACACACATCAGAGATCTCACACGGGGGAAAAGCCGTATTCCTGTCCTGAGTGCGGGAAATGTTTTTTCACAGAAGTCCCATCTTCATTCACATCAAAGATCTCACACGGGGGAGAAGCCATATTCCTGTCCTGAGTGTGGAAAATGTTTTTCAAAGAAATCCTATCTTCACACACATCAGAGATCTCACACGGGGGAAAAGCCGTATTCCTGTCCTGAGTGCGGGAAATGTTTTTCAGCAAAGTCCTATCTTTACAAACATCAGAGATCTCACATGGGGGAGAAGCCACTTTCCTGTCCATGAGTGAGGGAAATGTCCCTCACTGAAGTCCTGTCTTCCTGCACATCAGGGGGATTATATCGTAGTAGACAGATCAGACCGGGGTCAGTCCTTATTGGGGGGGAAATGGGGAAAGATGGGGGGAGGGCTATGGCATCACATGGTAACACGGGGGGTTCCCATGTTTACAACCAGTGGAATTGGTACCATTTGTATGCAAATAAAAAATACACAAAATCTCTGAGAACAAGGTGTCAGTGAATGAAGAAGGTATCAGTGAATGGACAAGGTGTCAGTGAATGAAGGAGGTGTCAATGAATGAACAAAGGTGTCATGAATGAGGAAGAGTGTCAATGAATGAACAAGGTGTCAATGAAGGAGGTGTCAGTGAATGGAAGTGTTTGTTCCCCAATGCCAGAAGTCTGCCCAGCACAATAGGTGAGTTGGAAGGTTTGGTGAATGAAGAGAATTGGATTGGATTGGTATTGCTGAATCTTGGCTTCATTCCTCACATGACTGGGCCATTCATATTCCTGGCTAGGTTCTCTTTCGGAGAGACGGGGGAAATAGGAAAGGGGGTGGAATCTGTCTGGAAAAGGAAAGGGGCTGGAGTCTGGAATAGGAAAGGGGTGGAGTCTGTCTATGTCTATGAGAAGTGATCTCAGCGAGTGAGAAAGAGGACCTAGATGATGGAGAGTGTGATGAGGCTGAAGTATTATGGGTGGAGCTGTACATGGGGGGCGGTACTACAAACAAAGGTCATCATTGGCGTTTGTTATAGGCCTCCCAGTGTTAATGAGGAGGAGGTGGAGACTCAGCTCCCCCCACAGATGGAAAGGGGGGGGACAGAGATAATAATGGGGGGATGGTAACTACCCAGAAACTGACTGGAGTAATGGGACTGCAGGAACAGTTAAAGGATAAAAATGTATAAAACCTACTACAGGACAATTGTATGGTTCAGTTCATAGAGGCCCCAACTAGGAATGATCTCTCTGCTGGACCTGTGTCATAGAGGCCCCAACTAGGAATGATGCTCTGCTGGACCTGTGTCATAGAGGCCCCCCAACTAGGAATGATGCTCTGCTGGACTTGGTCATAGAGGCCCCAACTAGGAATGATGCTCTGCTGGACCTGTGTCATAGAGGCCCCAACTAGGAATGATGCTCTGCTGGACCTGGTCATAGAGGCCCCAACTAGGAATGATGCTCTGCTGGACCTGTGTCATAGAGGCCCCAACTAGGAATGACGCTCTGCTGGACCTGTGTCATAGAGGCCCCAACTAGGAATGATGCTCTGCTAGACCTGTGTCATAGAGGCCCCAGCTAGGAATGAGCTCTGCTGGACCTGTGTCATAGAGGCCCCAGCTAGGAATGATGCTCTGCTGGACCTGTGTCATAGAGGCCCCACTAGGAATGATGCTCTCCTGTGTCATAGAGGCTCCAACTAGGAATGATGCTCTGCTGGACCTGGTCATAGAGGCCCCAACTAGGAATGATGCTCTGCTGGACCTGTGTCATAGAGGCCCCAACTAGGAATGATGCTCTGCTGGACCTGTGTCATAGAGGCCCCAACTAGGAATGATGCTCTGCTGGACCTGTGTCATGTCATAGAGGACCTGTGTCCCCAACTAGGAATGATGCTCTGCTGGACCTGTGTCATAGAGGCTCCAACTAGGAATGATGCTCTGCTGGACCTGTGTCATAGAGGCCCCAACTAGGAATGATGCTCTGCTGGACCTGTGTCATAGAGGCCCCAACTAGGAATGATGCTCTGCTGGACCTGTGTCATAGAGGCCCCAACTAGGAATGATGCTCTGCTGGACCTGGTCATAGAGGCCCCAACTAGGAATGATGCTCTGCTGGACCTGTGTCATAGAGGCCCCAACTAGGAATGATGCTCTGCTGGACCTGTGTCATAGAGGCCCCAACTAGGAATGATGCTCTGCTGGACCTGTGTCATAGAGGCCCCAACTAGGAATGATGCTCTGCTGGACCTGTGTCATAGAGGCCCCAACTAGGAATGATGCTCTGCTGGACCTGTGTCATAGAGGCCCCACTAGGAAATGATGCTCTGCTGGACCTGTGTCATAGAGGCCCCAACTAGGAATGATGCTCTGCTGGACCTGTGTCATAGAGGCCCCAACTAGGAATGATGCTCTCTGTCATAGAGGCCCCAACTAGGAATGATGCTCTGCTGGACCTGGTCATAGAGGCCCCAACTAGGAATGATGCTCTGCTGGACCTGGTCATAGAGGCCCCAACTAGGAATGATGCTCTGCTGGACCTGTGTCATAGAGGCTCCAACTAGGAATGATGCTCTGCTGGACCTGTCATAGAGGCCCCAACTAGGAATGATGCTCTGCTGGACCTGTGTCATAGAGGCCCCAACTAGGAATGATGCTCTGCTGCACCTGCGTCATAGAGGCCCCAACTAGGAATGATGCTCTGCTGGAGCTGGTCATAGAGGCCCCAACTAGGAATGATGCTCTGCTGGACCTGGTCATCTCCAACCATGCAGAGATTATTACGAATGTCCATATATAGAACATCTGGGTAGCCGTGACCATAACATGATTTCATTGTTAGCTGTAAACAGCGAGCACATACGGGGAGAATAAAAACGCTGAACTTTAAGAGAGCTAATTCTCCAAGGCTGAGATCTGCTCTCCAAGACTTAGACTGGGAGGAATATTGGCATGGATGAACACAACACAGAAATGGGAGTTCTTCACAAAGACTGTATGTGACCACACTGCAGAATATATCCCCGTGGGCACCAGTATAAAAGGCTACAAATCCAACCTCTGTGTCTTCGGGCCAAAGTGACAAAAGCCATAGATAAGAAGAAAAGAGCTTTTATTACAGATAACAATGAAGGAACGCCATCATCGTTTACACATTACAGAGAATAGAACAGAAGATGCAGAAAGGAAATAAAGGCACAAAAACTGAAAACAAACCACAGAAAGATATCAGGACCCCCCCCAAAACATTCCTCCAATCTATGAATAGTAGAAAGGTCCGGTCCCAGCATGTAGGCCCTTTACAGAACCATCTAGAGGGGGGGGGACAAAGAGAAGGACAATGTATGACATCCCTTCTTCAGCTCTGTGTATACAAAGGATCATGGGGGGGCTCTTGTCCATAATGGGCGTGGTACTGACACCCCCCACATCATCCACATTGGCTCACACATGATATGATCCAGAAATATTATAGAATAGAATAGAGGTGAATAAAGCCCGTGACCGATGATGGCATACACCCACGGGGCCTTACAGAATCCAGCTCTGTCATCTCACAGCCATTGTTTCTCATTTTTAGGGACTCTTTAATGACTGGCATAGTACCACGGGATTGGTGTAAGGCCAATGTGGGGCCAATATTTATAAATATATAAATATAATTATAGAACTGTTAGTGGAACTTCTATAGTTGGGAAGATACTGGAGAGTTTAATAAAAGACCACAGAGAGGAGTTTTTGCTGGAAACAAATATTGTAAACCCACGGACAGCGTGGATTCATGAAAGACAGAAGTTGTCACACAAATCTGATTTCTTTTTACGAGGAGGTGAGCAAAACCTTGGACAGAGGGGTGATGGTGGACGTGGTATACTTGGACAGAGGGGTGGCTGTGGACGTGGTATACTTGGACAGAGGGGTGGCGGTGGACGTGGTATACTTGGACAGAGGGGTAGCTGTGGACGTGGTTTATTTGGACAGAGGGGTGGTGGTGGACGTGGGTATACTTGGACAGAGGGGTGGCAGTGGACGTGGCATAATTGGACAGAGAGGGGTGGTGATAGACGTGGCATACTTGGGACGTGGTATACTCGAACAGAGGGGTGGCGATAGACGTGGTATACTTGGACAGAGGGCTGGCTGTGGACGAATACTTGGACAGAGGGGTGGGCAGTGGACGTGTGCATACTTGGACAGAGGGGTGGACGTGGTATACTCGGACAGAGGGGTGGCGGTGGACAAGATATACTTGGACAGAGGGTGGTGGTGGACGTGGCATACTCGGACAGAGGGATGGGCAGTGGATGTGGTATACTTGGACAGAGGGGTGGCTGTGCACGTGGTATACTTGGTGTCAGGGAGCTGGTCCTTCTTTCCCCATCCTCCAGGTTTTCTGGCTGCCACCCCCCACCCCTCAGCAGCCAGAATAGTGCGGATCTCTGCCGGGGTGAAGGGATCATGTAATGTGTGTTAGAAGGAACAGACACGTCTGATTGTGGACGGGAGGTCTGATCTGACCCTATTTAATAAACACAACACAACTGACTCCATGTAAGTCGTCTGTCCAGTCACATCATCGATATATCTTGTCGTATACAATAAAGATTGTATCATTTGTGTCGGTGACTTTGTGCTCGGGATAACATTGGTACTGTTGAAAAGCTAAGCGGTTATATAATGGGGACAGCTGGATCTGTGAGGGTGCATTCATAGGCTTGCTGAGCGGATGTTTATACAAGATGGCTGCCGGGCCCCTCGTCAGGAAGATGTCCCTTGGTGGGGAAATATCTTCTTATCTTCCAGGATTGTCCTCAGACACTCACTCATTACTCTTCTGGCCCCCCAGATAATATTAACAACAGAAAAATGACTCAAAATTCACCACAGAGAGGTTTCACCCTTCTTATTGTACAAAAAAAATCAACAGCTTGAGTAGTTTGAGTCCCCCTAGAAGTCCACTTCCCCCCTCGTACAGGAGGATTCCGCTGAACACTGTCAGAGGCTCATCAAAATGGGCCAACTTTCCGGTCACCAGGTCAATGCAGGCGGTGTCACCCGCACTCAGCTTGTTTTCTACGAGGGGCTTCTTCTCTCCAGGCCTTCTGGTTGGTAGCCCTCAGAGTCCACCCTGGCAATGCCCAAGTTGGATTTGGAGAGCACAGCTTCAATCTTTTCAACTTTGTAGCTAGTCAAGATGGTACTAAAGATGTACCTGCCTTCTACTGGGGCAGTGAAGATACCTGGGAAGAAAACGAACATGGGCTAGTTTGAGATGGAGACCTGAGACCTAAAACCTTTGTTAGAGACAGGAGACCTGAGACTAAAACCTTTGTTAGAGACGGGAGACCTACGACCTAAAACCTTTGTTAGGGACGGGAGACCTAAAACCTTTGTTAGAGACGGGAGACCTGAGACCTAAAACCTTTGTTAGAGATGGGAGACCTGAGACCTAAAACCTTTGTTAGAGACGGGAGAGCTGAGACCTAAAACCTTTGTTAGAGACGGGAGACCTGAGACCTAAAACCTTTGTTAGAGATGGGAGACCTGAGACCTAAAACCTTTGTTAGAGACGGGAGACCTGAGACTTTGTTAGAGATGGGAGACCTGAGACCTTTGTTAGAGATGTGAGACCTGAGACCTAAAACCTTTGTTAGAGACGGGAGACCTGAGACCTAAAAACCTTTGTTAGAGACAGGAGACCTGAGACCTAAAAACCTTTGTTAGAGACGGAGAGACCTGAGACCTAAAACCTTTGTTAGAGACGGGAGACCTGAGACCTTTGTTAGAGATGTGAGACCTGATACCTAAAACCTTTGTTAGAGACAGGAGACCTGAGACCTTTGTTAGAGACAGGAGACCTGAGACCTAAAACCTTTTTTAGAGATGTGAGACCTGAGACCTAAAACCTTTGTTAGAGACGGAGACCTGAGACCTAAAAACCTTTGTTAGAGATGGGAGACCTGAGACCTAAAACCTTTGTTAGAGATGTGAGACCTGAGAGACCTAAAAACCTTTGTTAGAGACAGGAGACCTGAGACCTAAAACCTTTGTTAGAGACAGGAGACCTGAGACCTTTGTTAGAGACAGGAGACCTGAGACCTAAAACCTTTGTTAGAGATGGTGAGACCTGATACCTAAAAACCTGTTGTTAGAGATGTGTGAGACCTGAGACCTGAGACCTTTGTTAGAGATGTGAGACCTGAGACCTAAAACCTTTGTTAGAGATGGGAGACCTGAGACCTAAAACCTTTATTAGAGACAGGAGACCTGAGACCTAAAACCTTTGTTAGAGACAGGAGACCTGAGACCTAAACCTTTTGTTAGAGATGGGAGACCTGAGACCTAAACCCTTTGTTAGAGATGTGAGACCTGAGACCTAAAACCTTTGTTAGAGACGGGAGACCTGAGACCTAAAACCTAAAACCTTTGTTAGAGACAGGAGACCTGAGACCTAAAACCTTTGTTAGAGACAGGAGACCTACGACCTAAAACCTTTGTTAGAGATGAGAGACCTGAGACCTAAAACCTTTGTTAGAGATGTGAGACCTGAGACCTTTGTTAGAGATGTGAGACCTGAGACCTAAAACCTTTGTTAGAGATGGGAGACCTGAGACCTAAAACCTTTATTAGAGACAGGAGACCTGAGACCTAAAACCTTTATTAGAGACAGTAGACCTGAGACCTAAAACCTTTGTTAGAGATGAGAGACCTCAGACCTAAAACCTTTGTTAGAGACGGGAGTCCTGAGACCTAAAACCTTTGTTAGAGACGGGAGACCTGAGACCTAAAACCTTTGTTAGAGAACAGGAGACCTGAGACCTAAAACCTTTGTTAGAGACAGGAGTGACCTGAGACCTAAAACCTTTTTTAGAGACGTGAGACCTGAGACCTAAAACCTTTGTTAGAGATGTGAGACCTGAGACCTAAAACCTTTGTTAGAGACGGAGACCTGAGACTAAAACCTAAAACCTTTGTTAGAGACAGGAGACCTGAGACCTAAAACCTTTGTTAGAGACAGGAGACCTACGACCTAAAACCTTTGTTAGAGATGAGAGACCTGTCCGGCGAACCTAAAACCTTTGTTAGAGATGTGAGACCTGAGACCTTTGTTAGAGATGTGAGACCTGAGACCTAAAACCTTTGTTAGAGATGGGAGACCTGAGACCTAAAACCTTTATTAGAGACAGGAGACCTGAGACCTAAAACCTTTTTTAGAGACAGTAGACCTGAGACCTAAAACCTTTGTTAGAGATGAGAGACCTCAGACCTAAAACCTTTGTTAGAGACGGGAGACCTGAGACCTAAAAACCTTTGTTAGAGACGGAGACCTGAGACCTAAAACCTTTGTTAGAGACAGGAGACCTGAGACCTAAAACCTTTGTTAGAGACAGGATACCTGAGACCTAAAACCTTTTTTTAGAGACGTGAGACCTGAGACCTAAAACCTTTGTTAGAGACAGGAGACCTGAGACCTTTGTTAGAGACAGGAGACCTGAGACCTAAAACCTTTGTTAGAGATGTGAGACCTGAGACCTTTGTTAGAGATGTGAGACCTGTGACCTAAAAACCTTTGTTAGAGATGAGAGACCTGAGACCTAAAACCTTTGTTAGAGATGTGAGACCTGAGACCTTTGTTAGAGATGTGAGACCTGAGATCTAAAACCTTTGTTAGAGATGGGAGACCTGAGACCTAAAACCTTTATTAGAGACAGGAGACCTGAGACCTAAAACCTTTGTTAGAGACAGGAGACCTGAGACCTAAAACCTTTGTTAGAGACAGGAGACCTACGACCTAAAACCTTTGTTAGAGATGAGAGACCTGAGACCTAAAACCTTTGTTAGAGACCGGAGACCTGAGACCTAAAACCTTTGTTAGAGATGGGAGACCTGAGACCTAAAACCTTTGTTAGAGACGTGAGACCTGAGACCTAAAACCTTTGTTAGAGACAGGAGACCTGAGACCTAAAACCTTTGTTAGAGACAGGAGACCTGAGACCTTTGTTAGAGACAGGAGACCTGAGACCTAAAACCTTTGTTAGAGATGTGAGACCTGATACCTAAAACCTTTGTTAGAGATGTGAGACCTGAGACCTGAGACCTTTGTTAGAGATGTGAGACCTGAGACCTAAACCTTTTGTTAGAGAATGGGAGACCTGAGACCTAAACCCTTTGTTAGAGATGTGAGACCTGAGACCTAAAACCTTTGTTAGAGACGGGAGACCTGAGACCTAAAACCTAAAACCTTTGTTAGAGACAGGAGACCTGAGACCTAAAACCTTTGTTAGAGACAGGAGACCTACGACCTAAAACCTTTGTTAGAGATGAGAGACCTGAGACCTAAAACCTTTTGTTAGAGATGTGAGACCTGAGACCTTTGTTAGAGATGGTGAGACCTGAGACCTAAAACCTTTGTTAGAGATGATGGGAGACCTGAGACCTAAAACCTTTATTAGAGACAGGAGACCTGAGACCTAAAACCTTTATTAGAGACAGTAGACCTGAGACCTAAAACCTTTGTTAGAGATAAGAGACCTCAGACCTAAAACCTTTGTTAGAGACGGGAGAACCTGAGACCTAAAACCTTTGTTAGAGACGGGAGACCAGAGACCTAAAACCTTTGTTAGAGACAGGAGACCTGAGACCTAAAACCTGTTGTTAGAGACAGGAGACCTGAGACCTAAAACCTTTTTTAGAGACGTGAGACCTGAGACCTAAAACCTTTGTTAGAGACGTGAGACCTGAGAACCTAAAACCTTTGTTAGAGACAGGAGACCCCCCCTGAGACCTTTGTTAGAGACAGGAGACCTGAGACCTAAAACCTTTGTTAGAGATGTGAGACCTGAGACCTAAAACCTTTGTTAGAGATGTGAGACCTGAGACCTATGTTAGAGATGTGAGACCTAAAACCTTTATTAGAGACAGGAGACCTGAGACCTAAAACCTTTGTTAGAAGATGTGAGACCTGTGACCTAAAACCTTTGTTAGAGATGAGAGACCTGAGACCTAAAACCTTTGTTAGAGATGGGAGACCTGAGACCTAAAACCTTTATTAGAGACAGGAGACCTGAGACCTAAAACCTTTGTTAGAGATGTGAGACCTCAGACCCTAAAACCTTTGTTAGAGATGGGAGACCTGAGACCTAAAACCTTTATTAGAGACAGGAGACCTGAGACCTTTGTTAGAGACAGGGAGGGGAGACCTGAGACCTATAAAACCTTTGTTAGAGATGTGAGACCTGAGACCTTTGTTAGAGATGTGAGACCTGTGACCTAAAACCTTTGTTAGAGATGGGAGACCTGAGACCTAAAACCTTTGTTAGAGATGTGAGACCTGAGACCTGAGACCTTTGTTAGTGATGTGAGACC